ATGATATGAAATCGCTCTGAGGGGCCCTCTCTTGAGACCCTCTTTTCTTTTGTGCTAGAAATGTTTTTTTCAACTATTATAGTGCAAAGTCTCACTGGGCTTCTCTCTTTACCCACATCCTCACATGTCATATGTTTTATGACTCATGTTAACCAAAGCCTTGTCATCCATGTTGGATGTGAGTTTCCAGCTCTCATGTAGATACTTAGATTCACTTTGTGGGTACTATGCACTTGTGTTCAATGTCAAAACATTAACATTACACTCTGTATGATATATTCGCAAATAAGGAATGCTTAACAAAATGAATCCCATGGATGATGAATGCACAAGATAAAATAAAAATAGAGCAATAGATAATAATATACATTTGAACTACTTCGCATGCTTGCCTGTAATTTAGATTCCACATCTTGAGGGCTCAGGAGTATTTGAGAAGAACTACTACAATTTACCCTGCCCGAATTGCAGGAATTGCTTAATGTGCTGTGGTGTGGGTTACATTATATCTATTTAGGTTTCTGAAGTGTGAATCAGCAGTAACAACGACAGACTATTGGTATTGTGGTGAGTTTTCTCCATACAACCAGAGAATACTGACTTTTAGAATTTAATTTTGGATAAGCAACAGACTGATTTGTGATGCAAGGGCAACGAAAGGAAAATATCTTTACAATTTTCAAAGACAAATATTATGCTTTCAAATTGAAAGGGATGTGGCACTTCCAACACATCCATGAACACTACGCCCCTAGTGTACCCTCCTCGTGCCTTGACAAATTAAAGACTGAATCATAGACTAATTCTATTATATAGTAAATTTCTTAAAAATAATTAAAAAACCTGTGAAAAAGAAAAATTCAATTGATTGTTAAAACAATATTTAATAGAAATGTGCTCCTATAAATGAAATGAACTTACAGATTAGAAAATGAAATGCATTAAAAATTTATATTTTATGTCTTAAATCAGCATGTGTATATAATGTATGCATTTGTTTATCGAGAATTTATTTTGAATATTTGAAATTGATACATCCAGATGATGCCTGGAACATATCAACTTATAAACAAAAACATATGTGCACATCTTTTTGTTTTGCTACTTTATATACATTTACACGAATGTTGTGTCACATTGAATGAATACATTACTTACTAGCTTAGCATGGCATCTCTGACACGTACTGTCAGGTTAAGTGTGTTCTTTGTGCTTTGCCAGATCATAACAAAAATTAATTTTAAACATACTGGCTGATCCATTTGTGGGCATACATTTTTGGGGTTAAAGTTTTGCTTTGTTCCAAAAATGCAATTAATTATCATCAATCTGATGAATCAACTTGAAATGATACTTGTATATCCCAGAAAGAGAGTGTTTCATCTGTGTACTTGTAGGTGCATTAAAAGCATCAAAAACACAGGTTTTGTAGAATTCTTCCAGAGTATCAAAGAGGGAACAGGCCAAGAACTGCACCTATTGATTTGTCTTGTTGAATGGATGGAAGAATGTACATATGTTACTTACCTAACACGATTACTTATATGCATACATACATTATTTGATTACTATGTAAAGATTTTTTTTATTAAATTGTTTTTGATTAATTTTATAATCTTATCTGTATATTTTTATTAATTCTATAATATTTTGTATAATATATTGTGTAGAATATGATGCTGAAATGCCAACTTATTTAAAAGTATTATTTTTGTGAAAATTATTTTAAAGTGCAGAAATTAATTTATTTTAATTTATCATGTGAAATGTCCTTTAATTTAATATCGGAAATAAATAATTAAATAAATAAAAATTTGAAACCAATTACTAGTAGTAACGCTACTAGTTGTAAATTTCAGGTTTTGGACACTTCAATCATCCAATCTGTAATGCTGCTTCAATACCTTCAATTGTCATTTGATTAATTTGTTGTTGCCTTACACCTATTCATTTTGTCTTCTATTTAAATTTTATTCATTACATATACATTTACATTACATATACAATTTTACCCATTTCATATACAAGCCATAAAAAAAACTGTCAGGCAGGAAAGAACTGATCTCCAAGAACTTGTGGCAAATGTGAGGACTTTGAGATTCATTCAACACATTACTAGAAGCATTGAAAATGAATTGTAAGTGGTCCTCCCTGTTTCCTTGGCTGAAGATTAAGTATTATTGGGGCACAAATCTTTGAGGCCTGTACCAGTATGCTAAGTGGTATTTTAATTTGTTGAATTCCTTTTGATCTTTCAAGATTACTTTGCAATAAATGAACTAGAAATTGAATTGTGTAAATTAAAGACCCTTTTTGTTCTGTTTTAAAGGTGTTCCAGGAAGCAGGTGAGAACTGGGTATATAAACAACCATTGGTGAAGCGATTGCACAAACTCTCTGACAGCTCTGATAATCAATTGTAGGTTGTCTAAGGCAAAGATTTGTGGATAGCCACTAGTTGTTTCTGGTGAGTATATTTAATAGCTGATGTAATCATTTTAATAGGGAAATAAAATAAACTTGTTTAAATTTTTTTTGTTAAGTGAAAAATATTTTATTTTCAGAGTAACTGCTTCATATGGCATTTTACTTGTGAGTATAGCAAGAAGGGTGGACTCAGAAATCATACCTATTGTTAAAATTGTTGTGTATATACCTTTTGATGCAGTTAAGCTTCTTTTAAAAAGCGAGTTGTATTTATTTACAAGGAGTCGCAAGACATGTTGAATAATGAAACACCAGTTAACTATGTAATTCTGTATTATCACAGAAATTAGGAACACTTTCAGCTTAGAATTTCCAGTAAACTCTCTTAACACCATAATGGGCCTTATAATAGATTAAATATATTCCTTCAAAGATTCATCAGGTATAATGCAAAACTACAACTTTGGGAAAAATTTTGTATATATTGTAATCAGCCATCAGTTAATAGAATATTCATGGCTTTTATTCCTCAGTCAACTAAATTGTTAAAATATGCAGAACGTGGGAAAGTGCAACTTTAGAAAATAATATCTACAATATGAATTAAGCAGTGATTGTACAATTTTCAATCTTAAGAAATTCATTGACAATCATTGTCTATGAATAAAATTTCTGGTTGCATCCTATAACTTCAGTAGAAAGTCAACAAATAATCTCTCTTAGAAATGCTAATGCTAGTGTCTTCATTTTGAGCACATGAATTTCGCAGAATGCTCAGAATGAACATTTTTGCTGGCATTAGATGCCATTTGAAATTGAATATGTATGCTTTTGAATTTGAATACTCTATTCTTGGTTAGTTCAAGACACATCACAAACTTTGGATATAAATGTAATATTACAAACATAAAATTAATCAAGAATTTTTTCCTTCCAAACCTATAAACATTTCTTATTAACAATGTATATCTTCAATACATATAGGATGTAGGTGCAGCAAATCAAACAAAATTATGTTTTGATTTTTTTTTGTTTTGTTTGGAAGCTTTTGAACTAATTTCATTATACTGAGAGACATTTGTGAAACTCTGCTTCTGACTTTTAACTTGTTGCAATTTAGAATGCTATGTTATTCAAATAATGATGACATTGAATTTCTGGTATGTTTGTTCAGATATTGCTGACACCAAGCATGCACTTTGTGCTGTTGTGTCAATTTTGAGTGTAACTGCATATTTTTACTTTCCAAGTTGCGTCTTGCCTAAATCAAAAAGTGGGCTGTATTCTTTGTAATGATTCTATCACAAGTTTTCCTGTTCTATTATTCAATGAATATACTATTCTCCTTCTTTGTAACTTTGCAATCATTGTCTATGAAATTATTTACCAATCCTCACCTATTAATTACACAGACCTGCACCTAAACAATTGTTGGCAAAGTTATTGTGCTAAAGCTGAGTTACACAGATTTCGGTGTGCTGAATTCAGAAAAAAACATGAAAAAATCCCATCACCTACGACTTTTGCACAAATCAGTATTTGAATTGTGTGTCTGCAAAAAAAATTCGTAAATTTTTCTATCATGTCATTGGTTCTCCTGATTTGGTTATTCCAACTTCAGAGAATTCTCACTTCAATTAGATTGTTATTGTTGTAGAACTGCAGTTCTTTTGCTGTTCACTTCTGAATTCAAGTGTCATTAGGCTACACTAATTTTCCCTGCTTCTTGTGTTAATGGAATAGCAGAAATATGGTTCACCACTGGATCAAAAAAGAGTGGCCGTCTAGGATGAATTTAAAAACTGGAAGCGCCAACATTTTACGACAAAGTTAAGTTGATCAAAGAAAAGTCTTTCTTCTGCCACTTCATATAAAGCTCGACTAATGAAAATGAAACAGTTTGTGAAAGCCTTGCCACATAAAGAAATGTATTTTCAATACTTCGCAGCAAATTTTCAGGACTCTCAGAAGCTAAAGTAAAAGAAGGTGTTTTGATGGGTCCAGATATTCGGAAACATTTCGGATGATGGGTCGAACATGGGTTCAGATATTCAGATGAAGCATTTGAATTGATTTGAATTGGAACGAAACATTTGTCAATTGTTCAGAAAGAGGCTTGGGCAGCCTAATAGACATGTTAATGAAATTCAAATATACGGACTGTTCAATGAGCTTGAAGGTTCATATCCTTCATTCTCATTTGGAGTACTTTCCTGAAAATGTCAGTGCTGTTAGCAAAGAACAGTGAAAGATTCCACAAGATACCAAAGAAAAGGAACACTCATACCGGGATTAATGGGATGTCAATATGACTATCGTGGATGCTTCACAGAAGTATCACAAGAGTCACACAAAAGGAAAGTGTTAAATAGAGCTTTGATAAGAAATAGAAATGGTACCACAAAATATAAATTTAGTGAATTCTCCAAGTGATATTCTGAATATAAAATATTGCATGTGATCCATTTCATTTTCATTAACAAATATATTTTTGTATAACAACTAAATTTATTTATTATTTTCCCTTACTCAAATACACTTTGTGGAAAAACCTTATGTGATTGAAGAGAACAGAGCTTATATTTGAAATCAGTGTACCAAATTCTGTAAACTACAGATGACATTTCTCAAACAATTTTCGATGACCTAAATTTTGCTGGCCTGTGTTATACCTCTTTTATTCACCAGTATAGTTGTTTGTTAAGTTGAATTTGCTTTCAAAATTGGACATTTGAAACTTTAAGTTCAAATTTCTTTCATGATGAGAACAAATAATCAGAGTAAAAAGAAAATCTTTGCAAAATGAAGTTCAATGCATATATACTGAGTTAAATGCATTTATTTCATACAAAATAAATATATAACTGAGAAATAATAAAAATTCTGTCACAAAAATTAAGTGTAATTTATCTAAGTTATATTAGCATTTTTGTTATTAAATGTCCATTCTTATTAAAATTAGTAATGGCAATTTGAGATCTTGAAAACTCTGAAATATCTTCTGGACGAAACCGCATGAGTTCACTTAATTTCACTACTTCCTCAAATAATCATTACCTGTATTCCTGTTTAATATTTAAAGCAGGAGTGGGAAACATTCATTGTTCTGGTACAAATCCAAAGGGAAGAAGTTGGAAAGAGCTACCTTATTTTCCAAAAGTTAAACTTGTCTTATATTTGTAAGAGATAAAATGCTGATGCCAAAAAATTATATTTTTTTACAAACTGAAACATTCACTCACTGTTAGTGAATACAGTGGGATGTCAATCTTCTGAAACATGAAATATCTGAACTCAAATTTTTTCGGAATAATAATTTTTTTTATTAGGTAGCATATACTATATGTATTCATTTTCTTTTGTAATACTGAATATTGAGAATGATCCCGATATGATTGACAGTGATAAAATATTAATGAGATCCTGTGCTATAGACAATCATCTGACTGCAGTGAACTTTGACAAATCCTACAATAAACACTTAAGAACCTGGAATGTTTATTATTTCCAGAAAAATGCTTTTCGTAGCATTTTATATACATTTGCAATTTTTATGTTGTTATCCGAATTATCAAATATCTGAACTCTACTTGGTCCCACTTTACCTCAAAACATTTAAATTACAAAGATGTTTATTAACTTTACTTTTTCAAATGTCAAGCTCCAGCTTCTGCTTGAAATTTCATAGGTGACTAGTTAAGGAATTTGCACCAGTTCTGTGAAATGTGCATCAGCTACAATTGCACAGTGCTAAGATTTAATTCATTTAATTGTTGAATACAATAAATGACTGACCTGAATATGTTGTGGCCAAAATAGAAGTAAAATTACATAATTTTCAGATTAGCTGTAAAATTTTGCAGAAGACTGCTATGAAAATGCTAGAAGAGCTGCATGTGTCTCACAAACTACCCTGTAGCTATTGATGCTCACAGAATCAATTATGCATGACATCTTGACATTGCATTTCATTATATTTCTGATTCTATTGATTCTCAAATCTTTTACTTTAGCCTTCATTGTTTTTATCTTCAGAGACAATTATAATTACTTCTGGCCCAGTCATATCAAATGTTTTGTTGCATTAAATATTTTGAATTCTGCTTGATAATAAAATAAACTACTAATAATATTGAGATGGAAGATAATTAGGTTTTGATACAATAATTTAAATGATAGAACCAGCCACTCACGTAGTAAAATTCTAGACCTTCCATTAGTAAATTTTTAATACCTATTATTTTTTACTTTCTCGCTTTAAGAAAGAACGTCTTAAGAAGATGAAGTCGCCAGAAAACTCTTATGTCCGGGCTATGGTAACGAAAAAGTGGATAAATCCTGTTGCTAAATTTAGGGAAAAAAATCCTCTAATACGTGGTGTATCCAGAATCCATGTTTTGTTGGTTCTTGTTACCGAAAAATCGATTGACGACAAAACGTCTCTGTCCGTCCGTTTGTGATCAACGCTAGCGCGTAAACCGTTCAGCCGATTTTCTTCAAAATTGATAATCCCCTATCAATCTGAACGAAGACTTTGGCGCAGTTTTTGTGGGGCACCTTCTTACAACTAGAATATTAAATATAAGAGATTTTTTCCTTAAGGAAATTCGTTCCTTAAAGACTGATCTCTAAATAAGTTCATGTTCAATTTTTCGAAAATATGAGTTGTTTCCGTGTAATTTTTGTGCGGAATATAGACATTTTCCCCCATTAAAAACCGCTCCAAATTTTTTCATTAAATTTTCTCCTCATAGGTAATAAAGGACGCTAAAAATGTGGTGCTGGCCCCATTTTCGATTGTTCCGTTTTCTTCTTTCGAAAATGCTAAACAAGTGAACAGTTAAAAACCAAAAAATTGGAGACTGCGATTTTTGCTTTGAAGAGGGTCTGTTGTAAAAAATCAGCTCTTTAAGAAAGGTCATGTACAATTTTTTGAGAAAACGAACTGCTTTTCGCTTAATTAGTGTAAAAATTATGCAATTTCTAAAAACAAATTCTCAAAAACTGCTCCACTTTTTTTCTTTACATTTTCTCCTTATATGAAATAAGTAACGGTAAAAAAGATGGTGGTAGTCCCATTTTCGGCTATTGTTTCGTTTACTCGAAAATGCCAAAAAACGCGAACATTTCAAAACTACAAAATTGGAGGTAGCGATTTTTTCTTTAAACCAAGTCTGATGTAAAAAAAGCAGCTCTTTTAAAAAGGTCGTGTACAAGTAAGTAACGCTGTGTAAGTGTGTGTGCGTGCGCGAGTGCGTGTATGTATGCGCGCGCGTGTGTCCCCGTGCTCGTCCGTCTGTGGTCAACGACCACAGAGAGCCAATTTTTTTCCAAAATTGAGATTCGCCTTTCAAGCCGAACTCGATGCTTTAAGAGTTTCAAATGGATATATTTAGGGTACTTTACATTAAGCTTTACAAAAATGGCTTCTCTGAAATGACTTCAAATATTTTTTAATTGAACTTCGTCCTCGAACAGCATAAAGGACGCTTAAGAGAACGATGTAGGTGTCATGTTAGTTGAAATCCCTGATTTTTTCAAAAATAGCAGAAGTGCAATTTTTTCGGGAGTCTTCCTTCAACTATCATATTGAAGATATTTTTTTCGTTAATGAAATCTGTTCCTTAAGAACAGATCTTAAAATTAGGTCATGTTCAATTTTTCAAACGTATAAGTAGTTTTTACGTAATTTTGCGCAAAATATAGGCAATTTTTATTTTTTTCAGGCAAGTTTTTTCTAAAAAATCGCTCCAATTTTTTCTTTAAAATTTCTTCAAAAATTCTTTAAAATCGAGCGTCGATTAAAAATATGATTCTAGTCCCATTTTCGGCGAACTCTCAGTAGTTTGGAAAGTTGCAAAAAGTAATAATTTCAAAAGTACAAAATTGAAGATGGAGGTTTTTGCCTTAGACAAAGTCTTTTATAAAACTTGAGCTCCTTGAAAAAGATCATGTACATTTGTTTGAAAAAACGAGTGGTTTTCGCGTGATTTGTGCTTGAAATTTATGCAATTTATGAAAAAAATCTCAGAAACCACTCCAAATGTTTTCTTTATTTTTTTACGCGGATAGAAGGAATGCTTAAAAGAATGACACGAGTCTCGTTTTCGAACTCTCCGAATTTTCGAAAATTGCAAATTTAGAAACAATGCGAGAAAATATGGCCTGTTGTAACACCACTAGTTAAGAACGTCCTAATAAAACGCGTGCTCATATGGATTCATAATAATTAGGTAACTGAATTCATTGTAATAAAAAAGCAAGGTATGTACATATAAATATTGGTTCCAAATATGTAATCATTAATAGTACATTTGTAAAATAATTCATTATAGTGTTAAAAATTGCTCTAAACAAGCATTTTCCTTGCACAAACGTCAGTGATCTTTATATGGATTTGGAACGACTGAATAAAAGTTCTACTTCTACATACGTAATTGTACACCAGTGTCCATCACACGGAATAGTCCTCTTCCAGATATATAATGCCTTCATATTAAACACAATGTTGTTTACGAGGAGCCGGTGCTCAAGTGAATAGGTAGTATCGTGTAGCCAGTGTTTGTTCCCGGTGGAGGGCGGGGTGGAATGGTGGAGTTAAAGAGGACATACTTCCCGTTTCAATCCAAAAAGTGATAAGGCATCTGTAACAAATGTTCGTAAGTTTTTGATCGAGTTTCCAATGTGCTGTTTGAAATATGGGCAAGCACGTGGTTGAAATAAC